GAGGCTGTACAGCTCCTCCCTGTCTGGGACAGGGGACAGTGATGTGTGTCTGACAGGGTATCAGTGCTCTGGCAATGAGTCTCACCTGATAAACTGCAGTGAACCACACAGAGTCAACTGCAGCTCCAGTGCACAGGTGTCCATAGTGTGCTCCAGTGAGTGCTCTGCATTTTCAGTTATACATGTTACAGATATACAAGTAAAATTATCATCCTATTGCTCATGTGGCCTCTATTCTTTTTAACTTTATTCATATCCTCCCTCCTTTCTTCCTCCTCTGAAGAGCACAGATCCCTCAGGCTGGTGGGTGATGCTGGGGGCTGTGCAGGGAGGCTGGAGGTGCTCCACCAGGGCTCCTGGGGGACAGTGTGTGGAGACTCCTGGGACCTGAAGGATGCTCAGGTGGTGTGCAGGCAGCTCCAGTGTGGGACGGCTCTCAGTGACCCAGTGCCCACCTACTTTGGACCAGGAACTGGACCCATCTGGCTGGATGAGGTGGACTGTGAGGGGAATGAGACGTCTCTGTGGGACTGTCCAGTACAATGGGGACAGAACGACTGTCAGCACAAGGAAGATGTGGGAGTTGTGTGTTCAGGTAAGGCTGTGTGATGTCCATTATTGAATTTTTCAGGATACTTTAAATTTACAATAAGCATAATTTAACTGGTTGTCTGGGTGATTCTCTTGTTAGTCCTATGACTTACATATGTAAGGGTTTGCAGATTCGGCCTCTACCTCTGTGTATCTGGAGTTTGCACTTCACCCTCTGCTCACGTTGGTACCTTCTAGACATTCTGATTTTACCTCACAGTTAAAAAAAATTCATGTTTAGGTGAATTGATGTTTGTCAATTGCTTATAAGGAGTGTGTGCCCTCTGAGATACTGGCATCCTGCCCAGGGTGTCCCCAGCACTGTGTTTGCTGGGATAGGATTAGGGCTCACTGCGTCCCTGTACTGGATAAATCTCTGGATGTATGTTTGGGAGAGATAACAGGATCCCTAATATTGGACGTCACATTATTAAACCTGAATGGAATTTTTTCATGCATTTTTATTTTGATCCCCTTTTTTCTTGTAGATTATAAAGATATCCGACTGGCCAAAGGCTGCTCTGGACAATTAGAGGTTTTCTACAATAACACTTGGGGAAATGTTTGCTTCAGTAACATGGATACAAGCACAGCTAGTCTCATATGTCAGCATCTCAGCTGTGGAAAGAGTGGCACTGTTGCAAAAACAAAGTCTCGGCTGGAAGGGGCCCCACACTGGCTTGACGAGCTCCAGTGTCGCCCCCATGACTCCTCTGTGTGGCAGTGTCCGTCTGCTCCCTGGGGAGGGAATGTGTGCCATGATGAGGAAGTGGCTGAAATCACCTGTGATGGTAAATTAGTGATTTAACTTTAAAAAAAAAAATAAAAATAATAATAATTTGTCACATATCATTCCGTGGTTTTTGATACTCAGCTTAAAAAAAAATTTCTAGACTTTTTCGATCCTTTGTACCTTCCCTTGTGCTACAATACATTTAATTTCAGTTGTACAATGTTGTATAATGTATTGGCATAAAACATGAAAAGGACTTAAATCTTATTATTCTCTTTTGTTTTCAGACAGTGATGGTGTGAGGCTGGTGGATGGTGACAGTCCCTGTGCTGGGAGAGTGGAGGTTCTTTATCAAGGACAGTGGGGCAGAGTGTGTGGTGATGGCTGGGATGAGATTGATGCTACAGTGGTGTGTAGACAGCTGTTCTGTGGGGAGGCTGCAGTGATACCAAAAAATGGTAATTTTGGAGCTGGAATGGGAACCATCTGGATGGATGAGGTGTCCTGTGTTGGATCAGAGTCAACACTGAAGGAGTGTAGATCGGAAGGCTGGGGCAAACATAACTGTGGTTATATTATTGATGCTGGAGTCATCTGCACAGGTGAGACACAAGTAACTATTTCCACATCTACATCCTGTAGTACTCTTAATGGCAAATCATCACCTATCCTAGTTTCTTAAAAATTGACATATTGTGTTTTTGATATCTGTTGCTTTTAAAATTGAAATACAACATCACACATATATAATTCATAACTTATAATGTTACTAAAGTGTTTCTGTTTAATTGTGCTTTTTGATATCATGCTTGTATAATATATGTCACGGTATATGACATTCTTCTTTAGATTTGCAAATTTATAGAATATTGTAATAGTGGGTCGCTGAGCCATGCTCTCAATAATTAGACAGCAGAGAGAGTTTGGGGTTCAATCACCAGGTGGTGTTTATCACATCCGCACCACTGCAATACACACACTGGCACTGCCCACCGTGCTCGTTGCCCTGTTTACTCCTCATTCACATGGTGCCCACATACACACACAACAAACACAACACACACACATACATACACACACACACACAATACACAGTACAACAATAAACATTAACCACTATAAATTACATAAGACACAGCACATTTATAACGACACAAGCAATTACTGCAAACTATTTACAAGCTGGTATCAGTCCAACCTGCCGCACTGCCCGCCGGTACCTCCACGCTACCATTTATTAGGGATAAGCCAAATTCCTGGTTGTAACAAGTATCTGGTATGGATACCATGTTCTCTCTGAAGCTGATGTCATACAATTCTGGGTTTTTTTATGGTTTCTCAGTGAGTTTCTGGAAAACAATGATACTCATTGGCTGCCATACAAACTGTTCCTCCCACATAACCATTAACTGCAGGATGTTCTCTCCCAACACGAGTCACTGATGCGCATGATCAGTTTCCCGACTCCCCTGAGTGATCATTAAGTGTTTGACCTGCATCGCATACAACGACACAGCTTTATATGTGTAAACTCTGCTCTGCTGTGAGTGTTTCAGATTCTCTGGGTTTGTTGTGCTTATGGAGCTTGTTTACTTTGCTTCATGCGAGTTTATATAGACGTACGTTTACTTATCGTAGTTCACGTTGCATTTATTTTAAACGTTTACAATATTGTGTTCTGTCTAATAGATTTAGTTTTGCTATTTGGCATTTGGCAGGCAATGTTGCTCTCTCTCTCTCTCACACACACACACACACACACACACGCACACACACACACACACACATACACTAGGATTACCACCAAATCCA